TGGAGATGGATACTATAGACGCTTGAACGTTATGTAGCACTTTGCTGCATGTGCATTATGCCGATTAAGTCCCAGTCTCTTCCCAACTTCTTCATCTCTTCTCTTCTGGGTGATTTTTTACTCAAGCTCTTAAAGTTAAAGCAAGCACGTTAAAACTCCTAGAAATTAGTGAGGATTTTTGATAATCACCGAAGAGAATAACGTGGAGTGTGACTTTGAGATTAGGCGATGTGTCTCTCCATTCAATTGGCATTCGTATTCCCAGTCTACATCGACGAATAACCGCTGATTATTCCGATGGGCAAATTTATGAAACAAACAGGTGGGATAAATACCGAATGCTGGAATGTCCGGTCACGCTTGAAATATAATTTTTTAACTCTAATATTCATATTTAACTAAATGAGATTTTCTAATGAATTATTAAAACTAGAGGGATCTCGGAAATTCAACTTGCGACGTTAAATTTAAATGAAATATGCGCTCGATACGCGTGAAAATGGAAGAATTAGGTGAATAGGTGTTTTTCATTTATGTTTCATTTGGAAACGCAGATTGATCTGATTAACTCTTACGTAACTTTTCTTTTATGCAATAACATGAATTTAAGTACATTTTCACCAGTTAATACAATTCTTTCTTAATGTTCTATGACATTATTTAATTTCAGGTAATCACAGTAAATCTAGAATACGAAAATTATATAATAAGCGCGGCTGCAATTTATCTTCATTTCCCATTGGATTTTCGTTAATGAAAACCTTTGTGAAGCTTGTTTATTTAACAATTAAAATATTTAAATAATTAATGTAAGTGATGTGTTTTACAGAACAAATTGGGGAGAAGAAATTCTAATCTTAATAGCATGTGCGTTAATTGTTCATTTTAATAATTATTGTTAATAATGAAACTATAAATTGTTACTATTTCTTGGCTTATTCAAGAAAAACTATCACCCCTATACGTAACGATCGACTTAATAAATTAAATTAAAAGTCGTCTAAAAATTTCCTCTAACGATAAAAAGACTTGTATTATAATTTTGTGAAATAAATTGCAAACAGATTGTTAAAGGCATTTTCTTATATTTGCAATTCAAATGTAATTTTCATTTTTCCTGTTACTTATCAATATTTGAAATACAATGTATACGCTATATAATAGGAGCGTATGCTAAAGACAATAAAGCTGCTTGAAATTTCTTATTTGAAACAGTAAAGTGGAGTTATCATAAGTAATTCACTCAAAATTACGAATTTAAATCTTAATTTTTCATAGTTTACATGGATGTAGTCTTTAGAAACTACGAAAATATAAAACACAAACTCGTAACTTTATAAATACATAACCAAATACGACTGCTTTACCATTAAAATACCAACATTTTCAATATATTATATCTTGGTGTTGTAATTATTATGTGTGCATTACAATAACAACAAAAATATATTAATAAGCTATATTAATAATTATAACCATTAATATAAATTCTCTTGGCAAAATAATATTAAAGACTTGAAAAAAATTGTTATAAGAAACAAAGATGAGGTTTCATGTCAAAAACATTTCTGATTTTTTGAATCAATGAACGCTTTCATATTTAATAAATTTGACATTTAGTTGGCAAACGAATATCTTAATGACGTTTATATTAATTTTATTTATACTATGTGACAGACCTTAAAAGACATATTATAAGCTTTAACATGCTAAGGAAATAATACAACGAAACTTATAATCACGGCATGTTCATTTATAATAGGATAATTTCTAATCGTAGAAAGTAATGATAGGCAAAGTTATTTAAAAGTAAATTAATCATTTCGTAAGTGCAACTGTATATATTTGCTTAGATATACTAGAGGATGAATTTCATGCAATGCAACAACCTTTACAATAATTTCTTTAAAAATTTATTTAGTTTTAATTATTTTTCTTAATCAATTAAGTTTTCTTTTATCCTTTTATGTATTTACTTGATATTTGAATTTTTATGCTTTTGAATGTGCGCGTGTGTGTACATATTATTCATATTGCTCGAGATCTTGTGAGTAGTTTCATTGTAATTGTAAGTATAATAATGACAGAAATTGAAATCGCTCTGCTTATTAATATAGGCAATTACATATAATTTAGAATGTAATTGTACGAACTATAATTTGTCGATCAATAATTGATTAGCCACGGATCATATACGGCGATGTTTTGTAAAACCTCGTATGCTTAAGTAACTTTACCTTTAGAGATGGTAATTTAGCGCTTGTATCCGTATATTATTCCATATAAGTATGTAAAATTGTTTTAACATTATAATTTTTAGACATAATTAATTATAAATCTGGCAAAAAATGTTATCAGTCAAATAATAACAGCTTGGAATTAAAGATATGATTTTTCGTTGAATTTTTTGATACAACTAGTGCATAATGAATTTGTGACTTATTATTCAACTTATAGAGATGATATTACATTAGCTATATGAATTTACTAAGCATACTACAACATCATTATTTCTTATTAATTAGTAGTCGTTAGTGCAAAAAAACCGACGTTCGCATAATAAAATTATTATCAATTTCATAGCGTAAAATAAAAATAATATCGAAAAATTTAATATTCCAGTTACTGTGTATCGTAGTCTATATGGAAAGATGAGCGAAACCTCATCCCCACTGTGTACAATCCACTAGGGCAACGATGTTACTTCCTCGTGCCGAATTTCTCCAGGTCCCATCCTCTGCAAGACATCACGAGCTTACATTTTTGCATAGATCGTCGAAAATATAAGCTTCCGTTGGTTCTTTGAAGTCCTATGTATGGCAAAAAAAAAACCAATTTTAGCTGATGTAAAAGTAAAAATTAAAATTGCTCTTTGTTATTACGGAATGTGTTGTCTTTGGATAATTCACAACTACGGAGTTTGATTTTAAAGCGTTAAAACAAAAAGCTTATAGCGTCTTATAATTATTACAGTGCTTGTTAAAATTATCTTCCGCAAAAAGAAATTAAGTTTACAAAGACATTGAGAGCTGTATTGCTCAAGTCCCAATTGTTTTCCTTCTTTACCTTGCATTAAATCTTAATTAGAATTACGCGGATTCGTTCAATTACATTAAAGTTCGAAATAAAAGCTCGAAATAAAAGTAAATTTACCTTTAGCCATAGGTAATTTGTAGCATAAAAATTATTTACGAATGCACTGTTTACGCGTGCAAAAGGAAAGGGATTTTATTTTTTAGTTCTTATCTTAGATATTTAATACTTTTATAAGTATGCCATGAAGGGTAATTCTTTTATTTCGAGAAATGTAAATATAAATAAGACAGCTAAAACAGGACTGTGCGCGAAGTAGAATTATTAATATTGCAGGAGAGAAAATTTTTATACCATTGAAATAATTATTTTCATTGCAAATGTAATCCTATCAATTATTTTATTGGGGCTTATTCATCTTAAACTTACTTAGAATTACTTCAACCTTCTCTTAGAAACAATTATTAATATCTCATTTCATTAATGCAAGTTGCATTAAGGAATTGAGCTATGAAAATTAAGCTACAGGTATAATATTGGTGCGTTATGCCATTTTATATTTCTTTTATTCATTAAATGCATGCAATATGAAAATCTTGGCTAATAAGTTTTATCGAGAGAAAAGAAAAATTACTTTTCTAATAAAAATTAATATTCTAACAAAGAAATTATATAATTATATAGTAATAACAGTAGTAGTGGTAGTAACAATAATAATAACAATAACAATAACAATAACAACGAAGACGACGACGACAGTGACAACGACGACAGCGACAACGACGACAGCGACAACGACTACAACAACAATAGTAGTAGTAATAATAATAATGACATTATCATTAGAGTAATCGATCGAATAAAAAGTAAGTGTATTTCAATGTGCCTAAAGGTATCCGGTTATCGCTAGTACAATTTCGAATTTTGCAACTTCTCCCTGTTAAAC